TTTAGGCGGGGTGGACTTCACCCCCCAGAACCCCCCAGCCAGCATGGCTGGGAAATTCTGGGAGTTGAAGTCCACCCGTCTTAAAGTTGCCAAGGTTGAGAAACAGAGCTAACTGCATACTCCCTTTTGGAATAAGCTTTGTTGACCAAAGTACAGAAACAATGAAGTGGTAAGCAAGGATTAAAGACAGGGCAGGATAGAACAGGAAGGAAAATGTAACTACATTAATTTACACCAACACTATTTGCTGCACCTCTCAGTATTTGGGGGGAAGTGCTGGGGCGGTGATGTAGAAACAAATATATAAACATTTGTCCCCCGTTGTTGAAGTCAGTTCGCTTTTCTCTGTATCCAGGATCAGTTTCTCTACAAGAAATTATACTGTGCGGCAGATAATGTGAAAATCTCATGATGCTTGCATGTTGATTAACCTTGGATGTTTGGATGTAGGCTTCTTTTTTCAGGGATGAACCCAACTGTCATAATACATTAACAGCAATTTAGTAAAACATAAAGATCACAATTCGCATATGCCAATCTATTTGCTATGCCTGTGCTGATTCTGCCCCTTAAAAAAACTTATTCTAGTGTACCTTCACAAATCTGGTGTGCTGGATTCAATTTCCTTAATTAGCAATTGTTAAAGGCTGTCCATCAGTCTTGACAGTCAAGGCGTTTGGGGGGCACCAGATTGGGGAGGTCTATTCTTGTATTTCTAGATTCTTCAAAGAAATCCTATACTCTTTGAGAGCTGGAATTGATTGGGCAATATTAATTATATGGCTCCAAGAACAAAGGTTGAAAGAGTCAGGCCTGTTGTGACTGGCTCATTAGAGGAACATAAGTCCTAGAGGAGACTTTTTTACATCTTTTCCTTTCTAGACATGGAGGCAGCTGTGGCGTGTACTGGAGATGTCAGACATTGTGTTGCTCATTACAGACATCCGGCACCCGGTGAGAATCCTGTTGAGGACCTGCTGCTGTTTTCTGTGGACTGGGTTCATCCAAACTTGTTCAGCGAGAGTTATAGAGGAGCATGGAAAGATCAGATGTTGGCATTCTATTTGTATTTTTATTTCTTCTTCTGTGGTTGTTAATTCATGTGCCACTTATTCATCCTGACTTAAAGATGTGGAGATGTTTGATCATTTGCTCTGCCCTAATGAACAAAATTCTCCTTCTTTTGGATGATGGAATGAAGAAGCCTTTATTCACCAAGAGACAGTAGACCAGTGTTTCTCAACCATGGCAATTTGAAGATGTGTGGACTTCAACTCCTAGAATTCCCCAGAATTCTGGGAATAGCAAGGTTGAGCTACATTGCAGTAGATAGTATCTGGGACATCTAATGGAAGAGAACAGCCCATTGTGATACAACATTGAAACTAAAGCCAGGGAGAGTGACCTTTGCCCTTCCAAATGTTGTGGAACATCTGTCAGACT